ACTATGTATCTACAGTAATTACTATAACAATTAGCATTAGAGGAGTGAACCATGAAGGTAATAACTACTATAACAATTAGTCATTGGAAGGGTTAACTATGTATCTACAGTAATTACTATAACAATTAGCATTAGAGGAGTCAACCATGTAACTGTTAACTACCATAACAGCTGGAGGGGTGAACTGTGAGTCTGTAGTAATTACCATAACAATTGGCCATTGGAAGGGTTAATTATGTATCTACAGTAATTACTATAACAATTAGCCATTGGAGGGGGTGAACTGTGAATCTGTGGTAATTACCATAACAATTAGACAATGGAGTGGCCAAGCATGAATATGCAATAATTACCACAACATTTAGCCATTGGAGGGGCTCAACCATGAACCTACAGTAATTATTATAACAGTTAGCCATTGGGGGGGGGGGGAGATCTACAGTAATTACTACAGCATAACAGCCATTGGAAAGGATTTTAGTTATGTTACTGCCTACAGTTTCAAATGACATATAAGTTTTCGATTTCTCATCAGATCAAATTTATTTGTTTTAAAATTTGATTAAATCACACTAAGTTAGACATTCATATGGATGGATTTATCCTTTCAGCATTTTTAAAATATCCGTTTTTTACTTTACATATTCCATATCTTCTAAAGAAAGAATCTAATAAATGCAAAGCTTTCAAAGCTTTTCTTAGCATTTTATGCTGTCATTTAATAGTTGATTAGTCAAACCTTATAGTATTCATATTGTTGGAATAAATACAATAAAATTGTGATTATTATTAATATTTTTCTTTTTAAGAAATATTTTAATGTTTTTCCAAACAGTTTTCATGTAAGTTGAATGAATATAAAGAAAATTAATTAAAACTAAGATGTTTTTCACATAAAACAATCTTGAATTAGTAGTTAAATTGTACAATGATCAAAGTTTCAACAAGCAATCTTAATTCTTAAAACATCTTTTATTTCAAAATTTTATCTTGATTTTTTTATCATGTGACTGTCTGAAGCTTGTTATGCTTAATTCTTCATATATATTCCTGTTGTTCTTTTAAAAACTTTTAATAAATGCAAAATACTTATTAGTTGTATATTAGTCATTAATATCTCATGATATGCACATCTAACAGGTATTTTCAATATTAAGTTTTAACAGTTAATCTTGTACAAATAGGGTAATGGCATCCGTATTGGATCTGGCTGGGAGGTGCACAAGGAGGAGGAGAATGTGACGTTAGCTGTTCCTCTACGTGAGCAGAAATGGTACAAGTTGACTGAGGATGGAAAACCTGACACCAAACCAGTCAACAGGGAGACTTTTAGTCTGATTTTAAATAACTTGGAACAACTTATGATTCGAGCTAAGTACCATACAGAGCAGATAGAAGGAATGTAAGTCTGTGGAAATTTTTATTTAGTCACATACAAACACTTGTCTGTTGTGAAACAATTTAAATAGATACATCATTTTGGTGGTGAACAAACAGTTAGTTGTCCACCCGTAGAACTAGATATTTGCGTCTTCAGCTACTACAATACATCATTTTGTTCCAGTTCATGTTGAGAAAAGTTCGTTCTACTTCAGTAATGTTAGGCCTAGCAAATAGTCGCATACAGTAGGATCATATGAGTTATGCTAGCACCAGTTATAGTCATGAAACTGAACTTCAGGCTAAATTCTCATTGTTCTTCATTCATCTACTTATGAATGTAGGATTTTTAATAATGTATTGCAACATTATTTGAAAATGAAAAAGTCACACGCTTATCTGTACAGTGTGACAGTCATATGACATATTAAAATGAACTTATATGTCAGTGGGACAATCATATGACATATTAAAATGAACTTATATGTACAGTGTGACAATCATATGACATATTAAAATGATTCGTAATAATTAATTTTCCATATCCTTAAGCTTCACAATCCCTCTTATGAATTAGAGACTTCTTCATTCTGTAAAAGTTATGATTTAGAGGAAATGTTTATGTTTTAACATTATAGATTACTGTTACAAATCCAGATACGAGAGCGATGTCCATGGTATCCCAACATATGTTTAATAAGTTTTGTAAAAATTTAATGTGTATTGTATACACCTTTCCTGTGACTAAAATTAATTTTTGTTGAGGAGTATTGTTAACTTAAAAAACGAAAAGGAAGTGATTATTCTATGTTTAAAACCCACAGACGACTTTATATTTTCATATATTATTTTAAAACGTACTCAACATTTTTCACTTTTTTTTCACTTTTCCACTCTGCAGTCATTTACCTGGAAAGGAATTCATAAAGTAAGTGTGGCTGTAAAAAGAACAACTATGGAAAATTTTGTTTTAGTTTTTTTTCCCCCCATTTTTATGAATCGGGGTGATCCACAATGAATTTGAAACTTGAATTTTTTAGCTTTTTCCCGTTTTTATGAATCGGGGTGATCCACAATGAATTTGAAACTTGAATTTTTTAGCTTTTTAAATTTTTATGTTTGAAGATGATAAAATTTTATAGTTTATAAAGTGATTCATGAACTGCATAAAAGTAAAGGCAAAGCATTTTGTGAGTTTTAACTATAATTTCAATAATGTTTGAGGATTCTTAGTAAATTTTTACAAGTATGGATTATTGTAAAGGATTCTGTTATTTGGAATTACAGTCTTCATGAGACTAAGCTGGAGATAGCATCCCAGGAAGTGGAGAGCATAAGAAAGATGACTTCTGTAGAGAAATGTAAATGTCCACCAGGTTATGCAGGCCTTTCTTGTGAGGTAAGCATTCCAAGATTCATATATCAATCAATCTCATGATTAGGCATACTTATACCTAACCACTGTTGTTAAAACAGAAATGTGGATGCATGTTGTAACTATAGCTTGGAAATGTTGGCTAAAAGTGTGAGATAGCAAAGATCTACTGTTTATATAATGAGCTGTTGCATTTTCATGACATGCCACTCTAACAATATTTTTGTTTTTCAAATCAATTCGATTATTTACCTGATCCTGAGATAATATTACAAAATGTGATTTATTATGATTGGATAGTTTTACAGCATTTCGTCAGTCTTTTGTGTAGAAAATTATACAGGGTTTATTTCCCATTCTAGACTTGTTCTTCAGGCTATCGACGTGTTGACAATATTCTCCTGAAAGGAACTTGTGAGAAATGTAATTGTTACAATCATGCAGAAAGCTGTGATCCTGTAACAGGACAATGTATTGTAAGCCAATTAACCATTTCTTAGTCTTTTCACTAAAAACGTAATCTAATAACTAGTAAGTAAGCATGGACACTAATTCCAAGAGCTACATTTAATAAATAATGTTTAATGATAAATAAGGGATTTTTTTACACATGGAAACATGACTAGTTTATTAACATTTGTAGTTGACACATTAGGGTAAAGGAAACAATCCATATTTTTTTAACATTTAAGCTAATATTAAATTTAAATATTATTTTCTGTCATGAAACTATAAGAGTTTTTTAAATTCTTATTTTGCTGTCCAGCTTGTTACCTTCCATTTATTTTATACTATTCTTATCATTGTCTTGTTTATTTATCATCACTATTGTAATCATTGTTGTGTTTACTTATCATGCCAGTTATAATCACTGTTGCATTTACTTTTATTTATTTATAGCCACTTTTTAATAATGTTGTTGTTATCATTATCCTTACTTATCCTTATCATAACAGCCATCATGTTTATTTTATCATGACTGTTCTAATTGTCATGGAACTTATCACAACATTATCATTATGTGAAATTACACTGACTGTTTTAATCATCATGTGAAATTATCCTGACTGTTTTAATCATTATGTGAAATTATACTGACTGTTTTAATCATTATGTGAAATTATACTGACTGTTCTAA